GTCATACATTTTGAACATGTAATTAAATAAAGTGTGTTTTTCTTACATTCTAGTCGCGTGTTTACATTCAGGTATCTCTTCGGAATCAAATAATGGTTGCACTACCAAAGTCAAAACCTAAGTACTTCACATTTCCTGTATATTGTATATATACAGATAAGAGTCATTTTTCCAAAATATCTTGTTCTTTCTTTGTCAAAAATTTCAATACAAACTGTTTCACAATATCTGATCATTGTTATTCTCTGTAATTAATATCCGATTGTTACTCTTGACAACAATGCTCCAAGATGTCGATTGTGTTGAAGGATAAAAATATCATGTAACATGTGTTTTGAATTCGTCTCGATGTCCTCTAAAGCTACGAATAAAAAAAATGTATGTTCCTATTTAAAAAACCCAAGGTGACCTTGACTTTGCCGAGAGAACAAACTGTTTTCAAAATTTGCTTCACTAATATCTATCGTGCACTTCATACCCTGCAAATATTGTTCTAAACTTTTTTTCTTAAAGCGGCTGCAAGTGGGAGAAGAATCTATATATATACGACATATTATTTAACACTAGATTGCCTAAGGCAGTCATTTTGACTGCTTTTCAATTTCAATTAGAAAAACAATTGTGTATAGAATGACACAGCTTCTTAGAATTTTGTGAGTTTTTGTACAACATATAAATGCGTTTATTAATAATTGTAGTTACCTCCCCCCTCCTTCATTTCCGGTATATATATATATGTGTTATACCTATATTGCCCCAAAGCAGTCAAAATGAATCAAAGTTTCAGTCTTTCTAGTGTTAAATACACTTATTATTATACTAAATAATGAAGCATACATTCATAATAACATTATAACACTGATTTACAGATGTATTACTGGACCGGTATCACAGAGCAGTTGAAACCCATGAAAATTCCGAACTGTCAGGAGCAGTGTCCACTCGAGGAGTACGAAAAACTTATGCAGTCCCTTATTCCCACTGACGAAGAGTCTGCGTGTTTGTGGAACACAGTGACGATGAAATATTTGCAGGAGTATTATAGGTTACTTGAATATTGAATCGGACGTTTATCGAAAGTCAACGATCGATGAAAATGGAACGTTAACCGGGTCATTGATACTGCGAGGTATTACATTTCGACGTATATGTCCGGTGCGATTCGCTTAAGTGTGCCACATGAATGGCAAACCGTTTGTTACATAAAAGGTATTCGGTATATGATCCTTATTACCTCATTGCATCTCTTAATTTCGTTTACATTTGCATTCGAATAATTTTGCAGCTTTTTAACGCAACGTGTTTTTTGATGAGTTTGGATCTGAAGGTTTCACGGAACAATATCTCGTTAATTATTCATTTTTGAACCCATAGTGTTTAATACTTTTTTATTCGGAATTAAATACTCTATTTAAATGCGTTATTATATTTTATTCATTATCAGTAAAAAAATCATGATAACCCTTATATCTCGGTAAAAAAACAAAATAGTACCAAACAAATTATTTTGGTATATACTTCTATTGATACCGTGCAACTTTCATTTGAACCATTTTGTAATATAATGAATAGTTTATTAGTTATTAGGTAATGAATAATGCAAATGGTACACTCAAGTGAATCGCCCTGCATAATGAATTCTTATGTGATAAAGTATTATCAAATCGTTTACACGTGTCTTTTTACATTGCAGATATTGCTCAAGCCATGCTGGTTTGAAAATTGGACCTTCGTATAAAATTCGTTAGTTAAAATTCGTAAATTCGCGAGAAGTTTTCGAAAATTTATTCGCAAAATTGACGAGTCGTGAATGAAGGTAACAATGCAATAAATGTAATTATCAATACCGCTGATACGAGTTATTAATCTTCTGGCTCCATCACGATAATTTACGCAGTGATAAGCGGGAATGTTATCGATGAAATGCAAGTAATTTGATTGATTGAATCTTGCGACTCTTTTTCGGACGCTTGCAAAACGAAGCACAATTTATAATTCAATTTCACGTTATAATTTATATTCAAAATTGAAGAACCACGGTGATTAAATACGTAAAAATGATATAAAAGGCAGTGGTTTATTCTGCAGTAATTAATTTATATAGTTAAATGTCTTTTGGCATATTCGTTGTAGCGTACATTTAAAAATATTTGTCTTCGCGCGCTCTGCAAGTAAACTATACAGGCAGCACCACCTAGCGGTCAAATATATAACTACATCATTAAAAAATAACGTTTCTTCGCAAAAATAAGGAATTTTAGAGTCTAGTCGACGATCGTGAATTATTCTACGTGTTCGACAAAATCAGAAAAATATCTGTTCAGTGGGATGGAGGTGTTAATATCGGAAATTAAAAAAATTGATTTTTATGGACTGTAAAATGCTCAGCCATCTAGCGGTGAACAGTAGGTACTAATGAAACTAAATTAGATAACATTACAACATTAGAAATATTAATTTCATACACCTACTATCACTGTTAGAACATTTTAAAATAAATTGTAGACGATTCTTGAAGAAATTTGAATTCTACTTTCGTCTGATAAGCCGCAAAATCAATATTAATTGAATTCGATTAATTGAATGGCGTATTCTACCGCTAGATGGAGCTACTTGTACCCTTTATATAGGAATAGTCTACCTATATTTTAATAATCAATAAATTAGTAACTTTGGAAAACAATTGACTTTACTGAACTTGATTCTGACTTTGATTTTAGCACGTGCTTTTAAATTAAGGTTTGATTACAGAATAAGTAGCGAACGATTTTGTTTTTAGAATAAAATTGAATATGTTCAAAAGACGATAGCTTTAAACATTAATCATTTGTTCACAAGCACAAACAGAATTCTTCTTGATCGAGGGCTTTGATGACAGAACTCTTCTTGAGCGACGAATATGTAGAGTACAAGAATTATTGCAAATGATACGCATACAAATACACTAAGAGAAAAGGTAACAATCTTTTGAAAAAACCGCCACAAATACTGTCAACAACGCCATCTAACAACAAACTGCTGAACTATGATGAACACGTGTAAAGTATCGACCGGGTTCTGTCGGTAACTTATTGATTACACTTCAACGGTAATATACCATGAGCGAAGTTTCTATTGTAGTTTCGCGCATCACTGCTAGATGGCGCTGCGTCGAACATACCTAAGGGGGATGTTCAGATTAGGCAAGGACGAGTCAAAATAGCCGAATGTGAATAACATTTAATTGAAGTACCGCGCGTCACCGCTAGATGGCGCTGCGTCGAACATACCTAAGGGAGCATTCCGATTAGGCAAGTCCCTATCAAAATAGCCTACTGTGAACGACATACAATAGAGCGCAACAAAGCACTCATCCGATTTATGTATTCATCACATTTTCCTCCATAACTTACAATTTCCATAAACTTTTTAGAATCAAATTAATTGCTACGTTATCTTTATCCTCCCAACACATTTTTATTCGTTTTCTGCTACATTGTGTATCACAGCGCACACTAATACGTATATATTGCCATGACAATTGCGTTCTAGAATTAAGGGCAAATAATATGTACATCTATTAATAAGATATATTAAGCTATTTGTTGTACAAAAGTGTTTGAAAATAAATTTAAATAAAAATACTTATTTGCATAGTTATTTACTTTATTAATCCCACCATTCGAACTCCCAGAAATTATCCCAAATTCTAAAAGGTGAAAAATAAACTAAGAATATTGAGAATTTGTATCAAGAGAACATAAGATATGAGTAGGTATCACCCGACAATTATGTTGACATCAAATTTCAAATATTTTAATGTTCTCTTGATACAACTTCTCTCTTTCGAATATGAAAATTTTCATTCTGCCGCATATGTTAGATAAGAATAAATACATAACGACTGTTAATAAATTTTTCTTTATCTTCACCAATCTTCATACATTACATAACTTCATTTTTTTAATAAAAATATAGTAACATATCGTGCGAGGTTCTGTAAGATTTCGGGCCGGTTACATGGTAGGACGATATCTAGAATTGTAAAATCCAGATTTTAGAATTTGGTACCAGGAGAACATGAGATGTGAGGAGGTGGCACCATAGAATTTGGGATTCAGGATCCTGATTTTGGAATTTCGTATCACGAGAACATAATATGTGAGGAGGTGGCACGATGGAATTTGGGATTCAGGATTCCGACTTTGGAATTTGGTATCAGGAGAACATAATATGTGAGGAGATGGCAGGGTAATTTTTCTAATTTAAGGTCCTGATTTTGGAATTTGGTATCAGGAGAATATAACATGTGAGGAGGTGGCACCGTAATTTTTCTAATTTAAGGTCCTGATTTTGGAATTTGGTATCAGGAGAACATGATATGAGAGGAGGTGGCACGTTGGATTTTCGGTATCAGGGTCCAGTTTTCGGAATTTGGTATCAGGAGAACATGATATACAAGGAGGTGGCACGATGGAATTTCGGGA